GTTCTATTCATAATACCCGTAAATCTGGTGTAATCCCCGCTATGGCATCGACAAATCCAATCTGGTTTCGTCGAGAGAAAACCATTCAAGAGTTTATTTATATCACACTTTAAAAAATTCTTCAATACTTCTTTTTTTTTTATTTATCTAGTCGACGACAAGCACTTTTTTGAGACATATCTCTTGGATTACGTTCTGATTAGTATGATTTATACCATAACTCGTTCAAAGACGTTGGATATTTAACTATAATCTTTAGTTCCGATTGGAACAACTTTATTTCCCGTAGTCTCGACTCCGTTTCCGGCAAGGTTTTTTTACATAGTCTCGGTACAGTTCCGGCAAATCTTTAAATTTTGATCACGCACATCTCTATTCAGAATTCTTTTGCTAGTGAATAACACATTCTTCAGGCACTTCTTTATTTAAAATTTACAACGAATAAATCATAATTCAGTATCATCTATTGTTTCATTACTTCGTTCATCTTCCAAAATAATTGTAAGTGACTGATTTAAATTGATTATTTTACTTAAATAATGAACGATTGTTTTTATTCTAGCAAACTTCTTTAGATGTTTTTCTTTATAGTTTTTCATCTTCTTTTAATTTTGACAAATACATGTGATGTTTTTTTGCTCGAAGGAATTTATTTTACCTGACTATGTTTTTCATTCCGTTTAATGAGATCTTGAATACAAGCATCGAATATATCACATTTCATACAATTGACCTGCAATTGTGATATCGATTTAGATTGAAGATATTTGATCATATTTTTATTGGCAGTAATAGAAATGAAAGAAAATATTACGACCATGAAACATGATTTATATTATCAACTGGTATTGTTAACAAAACGTCAAAGCATAACATAACAACAATAATTATACATCCTTCGTTTTTAATCATTCTTTTATTATTATAAGGTTTGACATGCAATACATTGCAATATAAGGCTTAAGAAATAAGGTTAATTCAAGTTATTGTTTTGATTTCATATGAGAAACAAAAATATGTTTACAAAATTTTTGTTGTGGTAAACCGATAGAAATTTTTTCTATACAATAAACAGAGTAGTACTTGTTGAAAAGAAAAAAATAAAAATAGTTAAGCAAACAAAGACAAAAAAAAAAACGATTTATTCAAAAACACCATTACGACGATAAAATGATTCTTCAACAATTTTTCCTCGAGCATATGTAGGTGCTTTAAATTGTTGACCAGTTTCACCTAATTTCCATCCATATTCCATTGTATTTGATACAGGATATTGAAATTTATGTTCAGGTTGAACTTGTTTACGTAAATTTAAATATTTATAACGACCTTTTTCTTCTTTTGAAAAACCATCAAATAAAACATCTTTATATTCTTTTGTAACCGGATACATTTCTTTTAATGCATTTGGATTGTGTTCTATATCAAGTTTTTTTGCTAATTCATCTAATGTATCATTTGGATCATAACGTGGTTTAGGTCGTGGAGGAAAAACAATTGTCGGTAAAGAACGACCAATTGGTTTCGCTGTAGCTTGTGTATAAAATGCACGCTTAAACCATTCATCATCATTTGGATTTGGTTTAAATGTTTGATGCCAAGAGACACGAGTCATTGCTTCTTTTTCAATTAATTCTTTCCACGCATTCTGTGTGCGTGTATCAAACGCCATACGTGTCATGATTAGAGTTTTTATAAAGTTTTTAGAATAGATAAGTGTGTCTAGAAAAAAAAAAATATATATATACATATATAAAGCAAAAGACAAAAAAAAAGGTATCCGTTACTACTACAAAAAAAAGAAAAACGTTTTATGTGTTTTCATTTCATTTTTATTTGAAAGCGAATGAAAGAAAGAGTGAAGAGATTGACACAACAGAACAATCTACCATGACAACGAAGAATGACGCGGCATAGTTTACTCTAAAGAAGGACGCAACAATAACCGATAGAAAAAGAAAGAAAGAAAGAAAAAGGAAACCAATTGATGTTGTCTACCTTTACGTACCACAAAAAAAATGGTTACAACAAAGTCACGAGAAGAGAACGAAAAAATTCTCACCAAGAACAAGAATGAACATCTTTCTGTTGTTTTTCTTCTACTCGTACAATTACATGCATAATGTAACATATATGATCAACGACTATTGATTTACAAGACCATTTTTAAAAGTTGTGTTTCATTGAAAAAAAAACTCCACTGTTATTCTTAAAATAAGGAGAGCTAGGCATTGATTGCTTGTGTTTCTTTTTTTTTTTTTTGGTTAAATTGTTCATTGAAGTGTTATAATCAAATCAATATTATTCTTTTGTTGATTAGCATGAATATGAAAAAATTTTTTTTTTATTATCTAGTCATTGATTGCATTTGATAACATCCAATGCAAACAATCAGCTGATGATTGAATGTAATCGGAAAGAATCTTTACATTCTTATAAAAGACAAAATCAGTGAAGATGTATATAAAATATTTTCACTCATATTGACAAGATAATGAATTTTCTCCTACTCATGATTATATCAAGCGAATAGTTATTTTGAAAAATACTTCGATAACTATTAGAAGACAAATTGATTTCACAATGATATTTATTTGATAAGTATGAACAGAGATGGCCCAACCCGTAGGGTGACACCCAGTTCGTCCTTTATGCTTAATCCAAAAGCTTCAGTAGCAATTAACTTTGACCAATACCTACTGATGATATTCTTTAGTGATTGTATCATCATATATCGTACGACACTCGAGTATGTTTTCCACTTTGGTTTAGTAGTGTAACCAAGGATGTTCTAGACCGAACGCTGTTCTACCAACAGAAGAAATAAAAATGAAATAATTAACATTATTGACAATATATTGCATGAGTTTCTCTCGAGATCGTCGGAATTTGTCCTGTCATTCACGATCTCCTGGTTATGCTATTACTTTGTTTACTCTTATCTATTGTATGATGTTCACTTTGTATCATTCTGTAGTATATGTCGTACAATCTTTTTGTTCATATTGCCATTGATCATACGAATTCTGTAATCTTTCATATGTATCGGATGATACCGAGCATATTTATTATATTGATTCTATAATGATCACTCTATAATAGAAAGACGGTCGAACTGTGAGAAAACACTATTATTCAAAAAATTGTAGTAGATTGTAATACTGTCTAATTCTTGATTCTGTAGTTTAATTACAAACAAATAATTCTTTATCATATCAAAGTATTATTTTTTAACTAATCTTCTTCGTTAATCATAATTTAGCAACGAAGCGGAAGGATCCTTGACAAAAAAATCTTTACACCCTTCGAAAAAATCGCGATCCCTGTAAATGTTGTCTGCCTCTGACCAGTTCTGTGTATACAGTCTATTTTGATCTGGTGTCAATATCAAAACAGAAACAAAAATCTTCAGATATAGTCATCTGTAAATATTTTTTCTTTGCATTATATACAATTCATTCAAGAATAAAAATATTTCTTTAGTTTAGATTTTTTAAATTTTAAAAATTTGCTTTTAAAACAAACGTAAAATATTTTATTTAGTTTTCAGATGAATTTATTCACATGTTTAAATAAACTTGAGTTTGATCTTTCGTAAAAAAAATTATTTGATTGTCAATTTAATTACATCATAATAATATTCGTTCTCATAGTGAACACGTTGTTCACACCTATTTAAAAATGAAGTACATCAAAGTTATTACATCGTTTTTTTTTGTCGAAACTATTTGATATTCATCATTATTCCTTCTCTCAGCTTCATCACTTTCAGGTTTATTCAACAATACGAAGAAGAAAAAAAAAAAGCTGTCACATATTCATACTGAACATATTTATGCTATTGTTGATAAGTTTGAGACATTATTGCAGCTGCTCTTTCTGATTGCATCATCATAACAACGAAATAGTGTTGCTCTTGTTTTTTATTTTAATTGTTATCCTTTCATATACATAACTGCATTCTTAATATTTGCTCATTTAAATATTATCTTTTTTTCCATGCTATTTTCTCTAGGTCAAGAGTGACACATTTCAATTTCACTATATCGCCTGGGACTTCCGTCAAACAGTTCGAAACACTTGACTAGCACCGGCGACTATATATATTTTTTGAAATTTATGTATGTAATAACACCCGGACACGTGGTACTTCGCATATTATAGACATTGCTCATTTGATTGCATAATTAATTTACGGAAGAAAGAGAAGATTGAATAGACAGACATGAGAAAATAGAGAGGGGAAGAGAGAGAGCGAGAGAGAGAAAGCGAAAAAAAATTATACAAAGAGAGAAGTGTCAATCTCAATTAGATAGTTGAGTCGCACTATTCAGTGATATCGACACATCATCATACGCTCAATTTGATCGACACGCCTTCTGCGTTGTAAAGAAGCAACAAAAAGTAAGTCGATTTGGTATATTGATATATTTTCTTTGATAAAATTATGGATGATTTTGTCTCTAAACTAGTTTTAGTTCTCTTAAATCATCAGTACATTTTATATATATTATTACGTAAGTTCAATGTTTGTATGTTAAACGGTTTTTTTTTCACAATTGGTTTACTTTATGTTATTTGGACAACAAGTTATCTCTTGTGTATTTTTACAGACTCTGTTCTATATGTTAGTATCCAAATATTCCAATAGTTTATCTAGCGTGAGGACCGAAGGATTGATGCCTCTTCGAAAATCGAGTGGGTCCTTCCGGAGTTTTAAATCACTTCATCGGAAGAGAAAATCTGAATAAAAAGACTGGAATATTCTATCAAGTTCATTGAATGTTGTTAGTCAAGTTGATTTTCTACTGATTAAAGTTAATCTTAGATAACGTTAACTGATACTTTTTTCAAATTGAGTTAGTGTATTGAAAGAGAATATATCTTTTATTTATCAGATTACAAAGTACTTTTCTTTATTTAATGTCTCGAAACAGAATATTGATTTATTTGAGTAGTATTGTTTTGTTTTCCTTTTTTCTTATTCAGATAATATTTTAATGGCACAATCTCAAGGTTACAAACGTTTTCGTTCATCGATTAATACTGTTTATTATGGTACGAGTACTCCACAAACATCAAACAATAAAATATTTCCTCGTGCTTCAACTCCAAATCCTCGTTCAATAGATCCAATTGAACAACAAACAATTCCTGTTGTATCTTCTCCACGTTCAAAAATGACTGTTCATCATAAAATTCATAAAAAACGCCGACAACATCGTCCAAATAATCAACAATATCAAATTCATATTGATCATATTGTTTTAATTCAGCAACAAAAAAAACCTTGTTCACATTGTCATTGTAAAAAAACAAAAGCTCAACGAATCATTGGCATTCTTTAGACATGTATAATTCACATATATATATTTTTTTTCTAAAACAAATTAGAATTTGTTTGTTATCATCTTATTTTTTTTTTCTTTTAATTTTCAATAAATGAAATCGAAAAGATATTTGCTATGTTCAAGTTACTGCCAATGATCTCGATCGAACAGGAATAACAATTAGACATGCACTGAGTCCGAATTTTAGCTCGGTATTCGAAAACTATCCAACTAGTTCAGACAGTGTCGGATATTGACCCAAGTATTTCTTGACGTATATTGTGGTGGACAATAGTTTAGAGTAGTTGTATTTTTAAGCTTTCTTCTCGATGGTAATAGCTAGTCAGAATCTGAAAAAAAAACATTTGTGTAGCAAAAAGCATTCTCTATTAAGATTGGTAGACTCGAAGACTTCAACAAAGCTGCTTGAGTGAAGGTCTGTAGACACTCATGACTTCCAAAGCCTGTTTTCTGGTTTCCTTTCGAAGCTTTTGGGAAAAAAATTCTATTTGATAGAGCAAATGATTCTGAGCAAAATGATACGCCTTCGATCCCTCCATGACCTTCCTTCATTGAACTGCATTGAATATACAAAAGGTTCAAGAGGCATTTTTCTCCTTTTTTTACTGCAAATTTCAACGTTTTTGTCATATTTGACGCTTTGTGGCTTTCTGTAAATTGAATGCAGTTCGATGAAGGACTGTCATCGAGAGGTCAAAGACATGTCGTTTTGTTCAGAATCATTCGCTCTATTAAATAAAATCTTTTCCCAAAACCTTTGAATAGAAGCCAGAAAGTTGGCTTTTTTTGGGGAGAGGGATCTTGATTTTCTGCAGACTCTCACTCAAGCAGTTTTGCTGAAGTCTTCGGACCTTCTAACCCTAATAGAGAATTCTTCCAAGCATACAAGTATGTTTTTTAGATTCCTGCTAGCGATTATCATTGAGAAGAAAACTCAAAAATACAACTGTTGTAAACTTAGGACTATCACTATATGAGTAATTATGAAAGCATCCTAAGGTTCGATTAACTTCAGGTTCGAGTATGTCTTAACATTGTTGACTTTTTTTAGTATATTTGCAGACTTCCGGTTTTTGGATCTGTTATTTCAATGCGTGCATCTCTACCACTGTTAAGCTTGAAGCTTTCTCGTTTGGTTTATTTCTACTTCCTGTTTTATTAATTGACTGTAAATGATCACAATCTGAACGCTCGAGTTTGGTGCATGCCAAGCAAGAAAAACGAAGTAAACAAAAAAAAAAGAAATTTAAATGGTAATTCATATTTTGCTCTATGCTCCTTATATTTTTGATCAGCAATTTAAAAAAAACAGTGAATGACATAGAAAGGAATTATAACAACCAGATAAGGCACCGGTCACATGAAGCAACAAATATTATCGAAATAGAATAGTTTATAATGTATATAGATAAATAAACACAAATATCAGCAAACGAAAAGAAAAACGAAAACCTGTTAGACATAATGAGTTCTTGAGGAATTCATATTATCTTGAAAGAGCCAATAGAGACTAACTAGACTTTCATGTGATGGATTTCTTGCTGATAATGATAAATTTACAGATGGTTGCATTGAATTTGTTCGGGATGAAGTTGGCATTTGTGATGGTGATTGTGATGATGCCGATATCGTGGTTCGTGGATGAATTCGTCGTCGTTGACGACGGGAGCCAGAAAAACGATTACCATTTCGAATACAATTTATGGTAGTAGGTCCCGTGGTAGTTGGAGTTGAGGCTTGCTGCCGAACACTACATTCTAATAAACTATTAGTCAATTGACAGAGTCTATCTACTTTGATATCCAGACTGTCTACCTATAAAAAAAACCAACATATTAAAATTAGATTGTTGAGAATAAATTCAAAGGAATTAGATTTTTTCTTAATTTGTAAAATGAATGATTTGCTTTTGCTTGGAATTCAAATATAAACGAACTTTGAATAAAGAATTTAGCTAAGTATGATAATATTTTTTTATTATTATTAGTTTATTTCTTTGAAATACGAAATGTGTTCAATTCGTATTAAATTAGATGTCAGAAAAAACAGTTCTTATTCTACAAGCAAATTATTTTTGTATTACTATTGAGCTATTCACTCAATTTAATCTAAGATTAGATGAAATTTTCTTAATCAAACTGTCAGTTTCAAAATATTTAAAATGATAACAGAAACAAAAAGTTCGACTTCAATTTTAATTTTTATTCTGAAATAAATCTCTATTTAGCTTAGAAATGTTGCTAAAATGATTAAATCTTATTATTATTTTAAACTAGATTTTTCATAAACTTATTCTATAGAAGTTCAGACATGACTTCCAGGAAATGATTTGTTTTTGTATTCATTTTGTGAGATTTTATGTATGACAAATAGTAATCCACTTAAAAACAAATCATGTAATTCTACTGTAAATTGTAGGTGACATATAAAGAGAAAGAAAATCCCTACTTTCCAGCTACTTTACGGTATGTCGTGCTGCTTAATGGCAGATTCATTAGCCTGATATCTTCCATACAACTATGGCTAGCTGTACCTCTTGACAAAAGGTCGGTTTGACACAGTGTTCTTGCGTTCTCCATATACGTTAACTAATCCCAAGAGCAGGTGTATGTCACAACGAAGTCAGCATGCTATCGGATAGGGAATGTCAGACAAACAGCTGTTAGTGATTAGTCTGAGATCAATCTATGGCTGATGGGGTACTGAGGTTTTCACATCATACATTGGAGATAGGCGTCAAACAATGTAGCCACTCAGTCATGGTGATTCAAGAAAGTTCTTTTCATATAAATTTTGATACATTTGAATATTTGAATATTTTTTGTACTTTTACGTTTGCTATAAGGTTTATATATGGTAATATTTTATTAATAAGAAAAAAAAACGATTAATCTTAATCCGACAAAAAGAATCAAATGAAATTATAATATAAAATCAATTTATTATTCTGTTTTCATTCATATATCGAGATTTATTAGTATAATTTAAAATGAAATGGATGTAAGGAAATAGTCGTATCTTCTTGATTGCGAGCATTTTTCCTTAATTAGAGGAAGAGAAAAAAATGTGTCTGTAAAGTGGAATCAGGGGAAAGAGAGAAAAAAAAGATTTCCACATTATGGAAACAAGCGAAAATATATATATTAAGATGATCAGTATAGATAGTTCAATTTAACAGAAATTAATTCAACATTTTCTAATATTATTGAATAAATTAGTAATATAAATTGAAAATGCTTTATTTCCTCGCTCATTTTAAATTTCATTTGATTTCATTGAGATGTGACCAAAAACTTAAGCAGAATCGACAATGATTCGAGTTAAAAAAAACAACAATCTCAATAATACTCGGCACGTCCTAGTAGAGCCATATCAATGGGAAAATGAAAACATTTTGGTTTAGGCAAAGCAGGATTATCTAGATGGTCTTTTGAATCTTAATAATTATCAAAATAGATTGCGCTTTTTTTTTCCTATCAATATATCAAAGGTAAGAGTTCTTTTAAGGGCATTTTTGTCTCTCTCTTTCGCAGTGTTTTATCCAGATTTTTTTCTTTCGAAGGAACGATTTAAAACGTCGAGAGGACGAATATCTATTTTAAGAAGCAAAAACATATAATACATGCTATAATAACCACAAACTGTGTAAGGATGAATTCGATTTTCGAAGAGGTGCCGTGTCTCGGCTCTCAAAGTGAATAAAACACTGGTACTCTTGATCCAGCTTTGTGGATATTTTTTGTGAACTGGCGAACAAAAAGTATCTGCAATCAAGATATCATCGATATAGTTTTCAAAAGAAATGTTACCTGTCTTTCAATTTTACATATTCTCGATGCTAGACTTGGACCTGATTCATAACTATCAACTGATTTTGATATACCCAATACTTTATCCAATCTAAAATAGACATAATATTTATATAAAATAATTTTTCTATTCAATAAATTTTACCTAGCTTGAAGATATTTCATTCTAGCAAGCATATCAACATTGCCTGTTGAATATTGTTCAATAACATCAGTCACATCATATGGACGTAAAGCTTCACGAAATTTTCGTCTTGCTACAAAATATTTAACTTTTCGTATAAATCGAATTGCATGTCGATGTATTGATTTTAATGATTGAACATCATTTGCATAATATTGACGATCGTCTTCATTATCTATTTTATTTATAAAACAAAATTAAAAAGTGTTGTTTTTTTTTGATTTTCTTCAATTTAAAAAACTGATTTACCAGATGATGAACCTTCTTGTGGATTGTTCATGGATACTGATGGTGTACTACTAACTGTTTCTGAAAGTGTATCAATACAAGAACGCATTGCTGCTACTGTTGAATTTGGTAAAGGTTTTATATTCTGATTATTACTTCTGTTAGTAGGATTATTTAGAGGTATCGTTGGGGTTTCACGTGCTGGTGTACGTCGTCGAAAACTGACTCGATTTAAAAACTGATTATTACGCATTCTAAATGAACTAAACGAACTAAAGAAAATAAATAATAATAATAATAATAATAGAATAGATATTTGTTGTAATTGTTTTTTTTAAAACAAATTATAAAAGAAAAAGAAAAACGTACACTGGATTAGGATTTGTTTGTGATGTTGTAGAAGGATTTGGTTCTTTACGTGGTGGACGTACATGTACTTTCCAAGTTGCTTTTGATAGAGATTTTTCATCAGCTGCATAGACACGCCATAAATTTTGTATTAATAAAACTGCAGGAATCTTTCGTCGTTTATAATGTTTTTGACGTTGTTGTTGTTGAACTTTTAATGCAAAACCAGAACCAAGAATACCCTATAATATTTATCAAAATCAAAAAGAAAAAAGAAAACTATCGACATATAGAAGAAAATACCGCTGGTAGAGCAAAGAAACTAATACCAATAAATGAACATATAGCAGCAAGTAATTTACCAATATATGATGATGGTACTTTATCACCATATCCTACCTATATAAATATTTATCTTTTTTTTATTT